GATATGTTGTGGGGTTGTTAACCAATGTCATGGAGCAACATGTGTACTGCTGTTTCATGAGAAACTATTTGTTCTGTGGGCCTTCACCTGAAGTACAATAAAATATTAATAATAATAATAATAATGCCCTACCTTTCAAAACAACAGCAAAAAAGAGCCCACTGCAAACCTGGTGAGTTAAATAATTACATAAGAACAGTTTTTACTTGACATTTCCAATGTTCTTAAGCATATGTATATTTATGCTCATTTTGAGCATCCTTCAATCAAATATCAAATTTCTACTTTCAGAGCACCACAAAAATCCCACAAATGCTGGGAAATAGGGATCTCTTCAACTACCTGGTTATATGGTCACAGCCAAGGTATTTTAACTCCCAAAGGGCCTCAGTTTTATTATTTCTGTTGCAAGAGGAATAAGAAAATCCACCTGCTTTAAAATGGAATTAAGGCATTACAGCAATCTAACCAGATTCGAGATCAGTAGTACAACCTTGCTTGGTTCACAGATCTCTGTGAAAATCTGATAGTAGTATAGGGTCTCTTTTTACAAAATTATACACAGAAAGTTTTGCTAACCATTTCACAGGCTACTCAGATCCTCTGAAGGCCATCCATGGAACCCATCTAGGGATCCCGAGCCAACAAGTTGGCCAGTAGCCCTCAAGTTGATTTTGACTCCTGGTGACCCCATGTGTGTCAGAGCAGAACTGTGCTCCATAGAGTTTTTAATGGCTGATTTTCAGAAGAACATCACTAGGCCTTTCTTCTTAGGCTCCATGGGGTGAACTCAAACCTTCCACGGTTCGGTTAGTAGCTAAGTGTGTTAACCTTTTACACCACTCAGGGACTCATATAACCCAAGTTAAGAAACCCTTTTCTAAAAATTCCTTCCTCATGGGCAGCTTTATGGGGATAGGGAGAAGATTGTGGTCTTCCTTACTGCTCTGCCCTTGCTCTTTCTGGTCTTCCCTTTTTAGGAGCACTAATTTGAGAATTTGCTGAGGTTGTGTTGGCCATTATCGTAAAGCCATAGACAGAGCATTCTTGCCCTTTCTTTAGGACCCCAGGTACAAAAGACGCTGGCAATTTGGATAAGCAATTTTTCTTAAAACTATTACCTTTATGGTACAGTTTACTTTAAAATTTGCCAGAGGGCTTTATCAAATGTAACTATTTTCCTTAGAGAAAAACAAAGTAAATTGAATATTATTTGTGCACATATAATATCAGTAGAGGCTGAAGGGAATTATAATTACAGATTGGAGTGTGGAACTAAAAGTTTGTAGTTCAATTCATCCGGGCAATTCTAAAGCCTCTGGTGGATTTTTATACATATTATACTAAAAAAATATTCCAGGGCAAAACTTTCCAACGAATGCAAGTATAAGCAATGACTGTGGAAAATCTCACAAGGTTTTTGTTTTGTGTTGATTTTTTTCCCCCAACTGATTTAACTATTCGCCTTAGATTAAGCATAGACTTGAAATCATTTTGCTGATGTAACACTATGCTTTCAACCTAATTCCAGCCACGCCTCTAATAAGTATTTTTGTAAATTAGACTGAGTCAAGAAGCATCACAAATTTTGTAAGAACACCATATATGACATTATTGAATCACCCACATATACAGACAAAACTACTGTTTATATAACTGAATTTTATATATTAAGGTTAGAATCACATTTTTTAAAATTTTTTTATGTAAGTGATTTGTTTAAATGCACGTTCCCATTTTTGAGAAATTAAACATGGTTTAAGTCACATTAACAGTTTTTGAATTAAAGTATTGCTCAGTTAAAAACCAAATGGGAAGAACCAATTTCCTATAGTAGAAATTTGTCTACTAAATATTCCTTTATACAACAAAAAGAGGCATTTTCTCTTAAAGAAAGAAACAGAATAGTCAAGGAGCTGAGATATTGTTTTATTATAGAGAGGAGCTACAGCTTCTGGGCATTAGAGTATAAACACGCATATCCTCCAAAAATATAGTTTTACTTATTCCTCTAATGGAGGGGAGATGGAGAAAAATGGAGCCATATGGAGAAAAGAGTTCTACCTGAAAAGCCGTAGGGAAATCTCACTTACAACCATGGAATTCATGTCCATGCCCTTCATAATTCTGCCAGCTCTTTGGGAGTGAAAATGTAGACTACAGAGGAAAGCATTAACGAAAGCTAAAACCCTCTGTGTAATTTCTTAGTAGATTCCTTCATATACGAAAAGTTAGACTGAACCACAGGGGTATAATCCAGGCATCTAATGTGTGAACTTCTTGATACTTAAGGAAGTAGGGGATCAAGTTTCAAAATGAAGCTTACAGAATGGCAAAAATTTTCACAATTGTTTCTAAACCAAAGAAGAGGATTTGAAATCCCCCAAGAAATGCTCCTTTATTACGGTTTCTTATGCCATATGGAAAAGTTAGATTTCTGGGTAGTAATCCTGTGATTGCAGTTCATTAGGTGGAATGGGGCCTGGAAATCTGAGAATCACATGCACACCATGTGATCATGAGGCAGAGGCGGTCGACCACACAACCAGACACACAGCTGTATGGCTGGGATAAAATACCAGGTCACTGGTTGCCACCATTTCTAGCAGCACATATCTGTGCTCACACCACATGTGTCTTGCCTTCTCTTTTAGCCTTTGAAATCCATGGAGCAGAATGGACCAGGACTGGAGTACAGAGTGACTTGGAAGCCACAAGGAGCCCCAGTAGAATGGGAAGAAGAAACAGTCACAAACCACACCTTGCGGGTGATGACGCCTACTGTCTACGCTCCTTATGACGTCCAAGTCCAAGCCATCAATCAACTGGGCTCTGGGCCTGAGCCTCAGTCAGTGACTCTCTATTCTGGAGAAGACTGTAAGTCATGCACTTGAAAGTCCTAACCACTCCAATAACAGTTCATCTCAAGATATTCTAGTGTGGTGAACAGACATTTTTGAGCACCTACTGCATACAAAAAAGATAGACTAGCTGTGGCAGATAAAAAGAAACATAACCCTACCTTAGGGTTGACTGAAGGACATTTGTTTGGTATAGAAATCTAAGGAAGTTTTGTAAGAGTTTCAATTGTATTCAGTTTCCTGATGGACAGAGCTGTTTCTATACTGAAAATCGAAGACCTGGAATCATCACTGCAATCAGTTAAGCAGCAACACAACGGTCATAACTATGTTTTCAATTGTGTCTGCCCTTACTTGTCAGGGAACTCCTAACCGCCTGCCACCTGCTGCCATGCCTTGGGCCTCAATTACGTGTCTGAAGCCTTCCCAACACAGAGGACATACAGACCCAGATTTCTATACGGAATTTCACACACACACACACACACACACACACACACACACACACACACTGCCTTGAGGTGCTGGTTGATATTATCATATTATTAAATACTGATTCCAAAAATAACTGCTGTGAATGCAAAAGGATTATTGGAAAAAGGAAGGATGCTGAACTCTATATCACTATACATTATGCATTAGAGGTTATTCTCATTTGATTCTTCTAGCACACAAAGTAATATTTTCTTACAAGAATAGAAGCAGGTTGAGAATGAGAAATGACTAACTCCGTATTCACTCACTGTCCCGCTTCTTCTACCCCAGTAAGAAGACACAGGGTGCATCAACTGTGAACTAAGATATTAATTTAAGCTGCTTTGTGTTTGGTTTACTCTCCTGTAGTGAGCTCCCCTATAGGATGGAGATAATGTTATCACCTCATAGGATTGTTCTAAGGAGATATGAGTCTGTTAAGCAGTGCCTGACACAGAGCACATGCTCAGTTAATGCTATCTGTTATTAATATTTGAATTTCCATGAAATTTTATTTGTATCACTAGTCTGGTTCCCTTGTTTTCAAAGGAAACATACTCACCGAATATTTCATTGGTCGTGGTTTCAAGTTTCCAGTTGTATTTACCCATATTGTGGCCATCTGGGGAGCTGCATTTCTAGTGTGATACGGGCCATCCTCTTCTGGAAACCTAGATGGGCTGAGAAACTCTTCCATAATGAGAACCTCTCTTGGTTCCATTTAGAATTGATTTTCTGAAAGTTTTTCCCCCACATTAAGCATTATGAAAATCATCTTTGGAACAGGACACAAGTAATCACACTTAGAGCTTATTAAAAGCTAATCAAGCTCATGTGCTTAACAGATCCTGATACAGCTCCAGTCATTCACAAGGTGGATGTTATAAACAGCACTGTGGTTAAAGTTACCTGGTCAGCCATTCCAAAGGACAGAGTACATGGACGTCTGAAAGGATATCAGGTTTTTATCATTTTTTTTTTCTTCTTCTCATTGTTGAATTTGTATATTTCCTGCAAATAAGTACTAGTTTCAGAAGAATCTGCCACCATTGTTGATATATTAAAGACTTCCTATTTTCCTTTCAGGTCAATTGGTGGAAAACAAAAAGTCTGTTGGATGGAAGAATATATCCCAAAGAAGTAAACATTCTAAGATTTTTAGGACCAAGAAACTATGGAATGGTTCCTTCCTTAGATGCATTTAGTGAATTTCACTTAACAGTCTTAGCCTATAATTCCAAAGGAGCTGGTCCAGAAAGTGAGCCTTATATTTTTCAAACACCAGAAGGAGGTAAGAGAATAATAATGTATACTAATGCCAACAATAGAAATTATCCAATGACCAAATAAAACATTTCCTTATTATTAATATGTACTTGACATCAATTACCTTCTCAATTTTTATAAACATTTGTTATCTAATATATATATGTATATATGTATATATATGTGTGTGTATATATATATATATATATATATATTTTAGAAATTCACCAACTTATGAGTGTTTATCATTGGTCTTGTATTTTCTAGTACCGGAACAGCCAACTTTTCTCAAGGTCATCAAGGTTGATAAAGACACTGCCACTTTATCCTGGGGACTACCTAATAAATTAAATGGAAACTTAACTGGCTATCTATTACAATACCAGATAAGTAAGTAGAGATTTGAATTGGAGTTAGCCTATTAATATTTCATTTTGGGGTTGAGTATTTGGTTTGCTATGCTAGGAGTCTAATGATCACTTAAGGCCATGGTTTGTAGTCTGGCCTACTTCCTTCTAGCACCAACCAGCCAACCAAACCGTTGCCATTGAGTCAACTCCAACTCATGGCAACCACATGTGTGTCAGAGTAGAGCTGTGCTCCACAGGGTTTTCAGTGGCTGATTTTATGGAAGTAGATTGCCAAGGCTTTCTTCCTAGGCACATCTGGGTGGACTCGAACCTTCAACCTTTCAGTTAGCAGCTGAGAGTGTTAACCATTTGTGCCTCCCAGGTACTCCTCCTTCTAGCCAGTGGTCTGTAAACTCTGATTTGCAGGCCAAATTCTCAGCTTGCTGCTTGTTTTTATAAATAAAGTTGTATTGGAACACAGCCCTGTCCACTCATTTAGGTATTGTCTATAGCTGCTTCTCACTACAATGGCAGAGTTGAGTATTTGGATCAGAGCTCTCATGGCCCACGAAGGCTAACAATTTGTTGATCCTTATTCTAGGAGAAAAGCAGTGGTGTGCCAGTAAGTACCAGGAAACATGATTTTAATATTTGTAGATAAGAGGCCTTGAGAATTAAGGAACGTGCTAAAGAGCACAGAGTTAATAAATGATGTCCTGACGATCCCAAGCCAGCCTAATTCCATAAATGTCCACACTGAGCTGCCTCTTCTGTCTCTAATGCATGTTTCCAGCCTCAGCCTCTAAGTATACTTCTGTTTGTAGAATCCTCTGTTGGTGGCCTATTAGCAGATAATATCTAGAAAACTAAAGAGTTGTCTCTGGACCATTTCTCAGTATAGGCACTGCCCACATTCTGCACATGGTTAGAAAAAATTAGGTCATTTTTAACCGTAGCACCTCCCATCTCTAGTAGTCTACTCAGCTAAGCATCATCTCAAAATGGAGATGACGGAACTGAAGTCATAGAAAAATTTACAAATAGTTCCACCCTGGAATTTTTAGACTTTGAGGATATGAATACCTAGACAGTGAAAACAGTAGGACTATGGAGACCCAGTCTACACAACTTGCAAAAGCCACCTTGATCATAGTCTTAATATGCTACTCTGACACCAGTTAAAGGTTTGCAGAAATCCAGGTCAGGTGGATTTAGCTTGTGATGACCTCCGCTGAGTTAGGAACATACGTTTAAATATATAATAGGCACAATCCCAGTAGAAATAGCATTTTGGCATTTTTGAGTGCTTGCTATGTAGCAGGATGAGTACTAAGCACTCTCCCTGCACATTTTGTCATTAAAATAAGAAACTTATGAAGTATGTACTGTCCCTGTTTTATGGATAAGGAAACTGAGACATGTAGAGTAGGTTTACCTAGAATCTCACAGCAAAATTAGTGCTAAACAAGGTTTCGAACCCAGGTCAGTCTTTCTGGACGCTGAGCTCTTAAGTCTACACTATCTCATGAACTGCTTTTCAAAAATGTAGAAAGTATTGAAGAAATGGAGCCTTGGTGATGCAGTGGTTAAGAGCCCTAACCAAAATGTTGGCAGTTCAAATCCACTGGCTGCTCCTTGGAAACGCTGTGGGGCAGTTCTACTCTGTCCTATAGGGTCACTATGAGTCAGAATCAACTCGATGGCAATGGGTTTTTTTTTGTTTATTGAAGAATTATTGGAGATTTTTTTAGTGCCCATTTGTTTTATAAGGATATGCCTTATCCTCATCATAACAGTAAGAAAGTCAACATTAGTTAAATTCCAGCCCTCTTATTTATCTGTATGTAAGATTTGAATTTAGGACATGGAGAGAAGAAGCTAAAATATTAACAGTTGTAATGATTCTTGTACTGCCTGATACGTGGAATTTTATAAAATGATAGTTATGTATAATTTTACTATTATTATTAGATGTTTGAGACATGTTTAGGTATTTTACCCCTTTTTGTTGCATGATATGTGCTAAATAATTGGTATTTGTGTATATGAGAGCTCTATATATACTTTCCTGAATTCTTGCACTGATTGTGGCAGTTGCTCAGTTGACTTCTTAGGGTTTTACAGGTAAGCTCTCAAATAATCTATAAGCAGTGATAATTATACTTGCTTCTTTCGAATGTTTGGATCTCTAGTTTCTTTCACAGATCTAATTGCATTGTATAGAGCAAGGAAGGCATATTTATGTCAATAATAAATACAGTTTAGTCTTTGATGCTGTTTGGTGTCATGGAGTAGGAGTCAAGAGGATTTATTCTATTCCTTTTCTTGCCTGCATGACCTTGGACAAATCATTACATCTCTTGGATTATTTCTGTAACAATCTTGAAGTAGTTGGTGCCATTGCACAAATCTCATGTCCTTGCTGGGTTGTAAATTCTGTGAGAGAAGCTATTTAATTTGTCTTTTTTCACTCAGCACTTTACACAGTGCTTAGTACACAGTAGATACATAAAATATTTGATCCATTAATTTCTTGATTTTACACATACTATGTACTTACTTGATGCCACATATTAAACTAGCAACTGTAGAAGGCACAAATAAATCATTGTCCAAATTATTTCCTCTAAAGGATACTGATTAAGTCTAGTATAGGATGAAAATATAATAATGGAAGAAAGTCCGTCATTTTAATGGGTATGAGGAAGGTGGAATTTTGGCTCCCGGAGAGCATACTGATTAAGAACATGGACTCTGGATTCAAATCCCAGTTTACCAATTATTAATATTGCTAGATGTTGGCAAAGTGTTTAATCTTGCTAGACCTCAGTTTCCCCATGTATAATAAGGCCATTATAATTTAATCTACCTCATAGAATTAAATGAGTTGATGCGTATAAATAATTAAGATACACCCTTGCATGCCACAGGCGTAAGGAGAAGCAAAAGTAAGGAAAGAGACAATCTAATTGGAATTGCTGAGTATTATGAAATTGGAAATGTTGTGGTTCATGTTTATTTCTTTAGTAAATGACACCTATGAGATTGGAGAATTAAATGGTATCAACATTACAACTCCCTCGAAGCCCATCTGGCGTCTCTCAAACCTCAATGCAACTACCAAGTACAAATTCTACTTGAGGGCTTGTACGTCAAAGGGCTGTGGAAAGCCAATCACCGAGGAAAGTTCCACGTTAGAAGGAGAGAGTAAGTGGCTTCTGCATGCCTTGTGTTTTTAAACAATTCCCCTGAAAGGAGAGCATCACGCTAGACATTGTAAATTAGAAATTATTGTGATCCAAATCTGTCTGACCTTTTGTTTTCCACTGATTTAGATTCAGAATTTATTTATCTTGTTTGCAAAGTTCACATTGACTCAATTTATGGATTTCTACAGAATAGCAATCAATCTGTAGTCTTAGTGCACATAAGGTCAGGAACTATGATTTTACTTAATTCAAATAGAGGGACATAAGGTCATAAAGGTATTCACAAAGTTAGTAGGGGGATATTTTTCTTTTGGAAGTGTTTCCATAGAGAGAAATATTTGTCTCTTGCCTTGTAGACATTTTGCAATACTGATCCAACAAATCTCATTTCCATGTCTTGATTCATATATGCATTGATTCCTATATAAATTTTATTTTACTGTCTGGTAGTTGTTGCCACATAATGGCTTGAACACAGCCCCTAAATCTATGGTTTCATTTTTAAAATTTTTCCAATCCAATTGCACTTCTCTGTTTTTTTTCCACCTTATGTCCATTTCCCTTCCCAAACTGCTTCTTCAATTATGGATTTTAGCAGCTTTCTCTCCAACCTTTCTATGATCACAACAGGAAGTCAGCAGAAAACTAAGAAGACAGAGGGAGAAAGGGAACTGGATCAGAGAAATCGATGGAACTAATCAGTGGACAAAGGGGGTCGTGTGTTTTGTTTAGGCTGGTCAGCCATGGGAGGGTATTTGAGTACAGGAGGAAAGGAATGGAGAAGATGGAAGGGAAATAGAAAGAATCATTTATGTATCATGTGTTATGTGTCAGACACAGTTCTGGATGCTCTTCAAAACTGTGGATGAGAGAAAAGGTAGAATCAGTGGAAGAAACACCAGGAAGAGGAAATGATAGTAAAGAGAAAATTTAAATTGTCAATCATTTATTAATGTTGTATCCAAACATATAGGTTTGTGAACCACTGTCAATCAATGTGTTTGTGCGTGAATGGTTATGTTCTGACCTTTATTGTCGGTTTACTTGTTCTTTCCTCTTACTGTTTCTATCTAAATAATAAATGGCTTATGTTTTCCTCATACTCCCTAAACATTCACAACTTCCTTAAATGGAAAAAATATATATATTCAAATAATTTCTCAAAAGAACATTACTTTCAAGGTTGAATTGCGCATGAAGTGAAATGCAGAACTAGTTTATCTACTCATAGAAGTTAGATTTAAAGATGATGATTGAAAAATTTCTAGTAACTAAAAGAATCTTAATTCTCAAATGTTTAGAATTGGCATCAAGTGTTCAATATGAAGGAGACAAATCAGAATATTAATAATATAAATACACAACTTCCATATTTTTAAAACAGAATTTAAAGACATGGAGATGGTTGCTATTTTGATAGAACCAAGGCCACTATATGCATGAGAAATGCTAGTTCTATTTTTCCGATTTGCAGCATGTGAGAATAAAACATTCACAAATTTTCTTTACAATAGTTACATATTCCAGTATAAATGTTGTAAAATTTGATTCTGGTTGCATTCATGCTTGACAAATTGTTTTTAGAAGATGGAAATGCTGTTTGTATGATGTTAAAAATTATACTGCATCTTTTCTGCAAACTAAAGATATAACAAATACACTTGAGTGTCTTCAAGTAGATTTCTTCATTGTCTTACATGTTGGTAATTTGAAAATGTTTCTTACTAGTATGTTTGTGCTCTTTTTCAGGACTCCACATTTTCAGTATTCCGCCTACTGCCCCTTTCCCAGCTGACACTGATTTCTCTTCTATAAGCTTGTCTTCCCTCATGTATAGGAAAGAATCTGTAATCTCTTTTCCCACTGGATTTCTACATCATCTTTGAAAAAAGAAAAAAAAAATGTATATTTCTGTTGAAGAGCTATATCTTGTTATCACTAAACACTCTGAAAATGATAACGTTTGTACAAATTAGAGTCTATTGCTGTGTGTCTTTCTTCTCCTAGCTCTGCCTCTCTGACATACTTTAACATTATCATATTTATTCAAAGGATGGGATTTGATAAACAAGCATGTTGTTGTTTTTTCTGATTATTTTCTGTTGTTTGCTCCAATTTTAAGGTGGCTCACATTCCATAATTGTAGAGGGGAAAAAAGATGGAGCTGATCAGAAGTATTCTTTTTTTGTGCGTCATTCATTAGCAGTTTGAATAAAATACTTGCTTTCCTCAATATTTTTGAAAGCTTACACTACTTAAAGAGTACTAATATCTCTGTCTTTCAAGGTCAAAATTAATTGCATTTCTATTTCATTGGTGTTCAATCTTGAAGGCTCTGCTCAACTAATATAACTCTGGCCTTCTTTCTCCCGTGGTGCCATTTTTCAGTGAAGCCCTTTTGTTACTCAGTAACTATATATTCCATTTTTACTCTATGGTAAAAAAAAATTATAACTAAATTTAAAACAATTTCTTAACTTCTTATATTCTTGGCAAGGAATATGTTTATGTTATTTTCATGCACAAATTGGTAACATTTTCTGCTTTACATTTACCATATTGCATTGATTCCTAGCAAAATCATGGCTCAAATGCAAAAATATGTATATGTTAATTCCACTTGACTCATATCTACTACTCTGATATTCTATCATTAACATAATGATATGTTGGTATTCCTTTTCTGAAAAGTGGTAATTTCTCACGCCACTTTTAAAATCTCAGTGAAACCCATTTAATTTAAATGCATCTATAAACATGTACTTTATGTCACTTAAATTTGTACAAATTTCAAATATTTAATATATGACTATATTATGATGCTAGTCCATCATACTTATGGAGGAGTACAAGGCAAAAAGAATTAATATATAGTTAATTAGGATTATAATGTCACATGTTGTCAATTATAAGCCAAAGTGACCATACTGAATTTCCCACTTGGTTTGTGAAAATCAAAGTTATATAAAATGACATCACATAATTTTTTTTTTAAGTCTGTATCTGGTTTTGAACAATTCAAGTGACTAGGCAAATTTATAGTACTATTTTATCAATTAAGAAATACATTCATCTTAAAGTGGCATTAACTGAGTTTATTTCATTTACTCAGTTTTGGTATGTTATTAAAAAGATATGAAATCTCATAATTTTCTTCCTCTCCTGCAAATTCAAGAACTATTTGAGAAAAAATGCTACAAGTGGATTTCTTATTCATCTCAAATAACAATATTTTTATTTTTCATCTCCTGCTTTCAATGATTACAGTTCATATGATTTAACTGTGTACATTTTATAGGTAAAAGTATCGGGAAGATATCAGAAGGAATAAATTACACTCAAAAGATTCACCCAATAGAGGTGTCTGAGTCTGGAGCTGAACATGTAGTTCGCCTATTGACTAAGAATTGGGTTGATAACAATAGCATTTTTGAAGATGTAATTGAGACAAGAGGGAGAGGTGAGAAATGAGATTATATTTGGTGCAATCAGAGACAAATCTAGTGTTCAGTAGATGATTTAATTGTCCTTATTTCCTATATTAGAGATAAAAATATGGAGCACATTAGTTTGGGCATAGAATTTTCAAATTAGTATGATGAAAAATGTTCCACGATGCTCCAGCTTATCTCTTATTGTTTTTATCAGGATAGCTGCCTAAAAATAATATCTCCTGCTAATTAACATATGTTAATAACACAAATTAAAAAGAAAACAAAAACCACGGAGGTTCTACGGCAATCTGCATATAACTAACGCAGTTCTGCTTTTGCTTACTCTCTGCTCCTTCTGTATTTAACCTGATCTGCCTCCACTATCCTTCTTTGATTTTCATCCACAGAATCAAATGCAACTTAAGAAGACCCTTTCTAAATAAAGAAGGAATATTATGTCAGTATTCCCCCCCCAATGAAATGCCCTTCAATGTTCCCTCTGGGGTTGCTCAAAGGAAAAGGAAAATTAATACTCTTTGATAAGTTTTAAAAATGATGTCTGATTTTCCCGGTGCAAAATCTCCAAGACTGTTTTCTAGTGTCCAATGTTGTGACTTTTCTTTGTGCAACAGAATATGCTGGTTTATATGATGACATCTCCACTCAAGGCTGGTTTATTGGATTGATGTGTGCCATAGCTCTTCTGACGCTAATCCTGTTAACCGTTTGCTTTGTGAGAAGGAACAAAGGTGGAAAGTACTCAGGTAAAGCTGTTACTTAATGCGTATTTTCAGTTCATTAAGTAGTATTTTATGGGAGGCAGTCTTCGGATACATCTTTTATTTGTATTCTTTAATTTCACATTAAAGTCAAATTTATATTAAGAAGTTAGACATAGAATTTATAGAGAAGAAAAAAATTCTTAATTTTTTTTTTTTAAGCAATACGTATGGTCTAGGAGCCCTGGTGGCGCAGTGGTTAAGAGCTCGCTGCTAACCAAAAGGTTGGCACTTTGAATTCACCAGCCGCTCCTTGGAACTCTCTGGGGCAGTTCTACTCTGTCCTTCAGGGTTGCTGTGAGTCAGAATAGACTCGACAGCAACGGGTACCGGTATGGTCTGGAATATTATCTCCAAGTGGTTACTTATTTTCTAGTTTCTAGCGCTTAAAATAGAACTCTTATTTTAAGCCTATCCGCAATGCTTGCAATACTTCCAAGCTTCTTTTTTTTTAATCTATAAACTATAAGAGATGTTGAGGAGACATATTACTAAATTTTAGTGTCTTAGAAAAAAAGGGCCCGTCTATACCATGTCTCTATACACTTACATGACCCAAAGATTTTTTGCATTACTATATTCTATAGTGTTGACTCTACGAGTCAACTTGGTTAAAGTTAACCCTTGCTGGGAATGCATTTCTTATTAGCATTACATATCTTTGGATACACTGTCTCTTGAATGAATAGTACACAAGATATAAATAAAACCCACCCTGTTGTTAATATAGGTGGTGCAATGGTTAAGCTCTCAGCTGCTAACCAACAGATTGCTGTTCTGAACCCACCAGAGGCTCCACAGAAGAAAAGACCTGGTGATCTGCTCCTGTAAAGATTACAGCCTAGGAAACTCTATAGGGCAGTTCGACTCTGTCATATAGGGTTGATTGAGGGCACCTAACAACAATAACGTTATTAATGTAATGGTTAGCTTTACTTTAATATCATTCAGTTTCCAAGTGTGTTTTGTCTTTTTTCAGATATACATGTTGCATTATTATTATTTGCTTAGTATTCATGATGCTTTTATATAGGAGGAAAAATATAGGTCCTGCTGCTATTAGTTTGCTGAAGTTCAGATTAGTGAGAAGTTCTTATTGCCTTATGTTTCATCCAGCAAATATTTGCTGGAAACCCACCATATATACAGAACTATCATTAGCATAATTCCTGAATTTTTCTGAAATTACATGAATAATTTATTCAGTTATATATTTTATATTTTCCTGTGAAGTCTGAATTATTATGAATTACGTTTTCAAAGACTAATGAATATTCTAAGTAATGAATTGGAAACTCTTAAGAGATACAGCATTTCCCTTTGAGTATGCCCAACAAAGAGTCATTTGCAAAGTAAAAGCCTAACCAAGTTCTACCAGAAGCTTCCTCAAATCATGCCCATGAAGAAAAAAGTCGGCATTTCATATTCTAGGCAAACTAAGAGAATCTCCTAAAGTCTCTGGTAGTAGTGAGAAGTGCCGTGGTGAAAGCATGGTATCTCCCCTTCCAGGTAAAGAAAGAGTTTTATCTGAGTTTTCCCAGTGAAATGAAGCAAGACCCTTCTTGTCCCCCATAGCACTGCTTAGAATAACTCTAATATTAAAATGTCACTATGGACCTGAATATTTTGATTACTAAGGTAATTTTGAGTAAGAGAGTAGTGTGGAATCACCAAATGATTGACTCTTTTATTCCCTTTAGTTTAATGACATAGATCTGATATGAATCTATGACATCTTCAAAAAGCTTTGGATAGTAAAATTAAATGTTCAGTAATTTGATCTTATTTAAGAGACCATAACAAAGGTTGACTCTTCCAGTAAGACTTATTGCCCACATGATATGAAGATCTGCAATGTGTGAAACTCTGTCGACAAATAAGTAAACCCCAGAAAACTCTTTTTCTTTTCTGTTTAAACAAAGAGGTAACTGATGGGTTATAGACACAACCATAAGAAAACTTGCCTCACTGATATTAAAAAGAAAAAAAGCAATGATGTTTTTAGTGATTATCCATCTTCCAACAGCACTGGTAAAATATCTTTAAAATTATTTGTATTATTTTTTCTTTTTTTTTAGTGAAAGAAAAGGAAGATTTGCATCCAGATCCAGAAATTCAATCAGTAAAAGATGAAACCTTTGGTGAATACAGGTAAACATAATGTTCCATTTTAAAATATAACAAAACACATATTCTTCAGATGACAAGATCAAATGGACAAGATAGTGTTTATTCTTAAAATAAAGGTTATTATATTGTAATGCACCTATAAAGAATAGTTTGAAAAAGTAGGGCCTACTTGAAGTGGTAACAACAGAATTTCTGTTTATGGAGGTGGAGGTATGCTTTAGAACTGCCTTTAGATAGAAGCATGTGTTAGGAGACTTTTCTTTAAACTGTATATGTAATGCAAGGACTCGACTTTATTTAGATTGAATTTCTGTTTGCGGTGATTAAACCATGTTGAAGCCCCTCTTCAGCATGGCCATTATGAACTCAGGTTATATTCAATTTACATCCACAAACACGTATTGTGTGTACCTACTGTGTGCATCTACAAACATAAATAAGTTACAGACTGTGTCCTCAAAATATACCTAGTCTGCAGGAAAAAAAAAATGTGAATAAACAAAGCCAAAACTCCATTTTCACCAAATTCTGCCTTATTCAAATTTTATAAAATTATTTAATTTGGTATACAGCTTTGTAGTGTAATATTAGTTGGTACTTCCAAAAAAATCTTGATCAGAAATATAGAAGACCATATCATTTTATAAACATTTTATTTACTCAGAATTTCTTTTGTTGAAGAACAAAACCCAACCCATGTAAGTATTTACGTTATTAAAATGCCAGCCATTCCTTTTTCTTTTTTTTTTTTTTAATTTAAAAAACCTGAGTTAGTAAACTATATTAGAAAAAGTTCTTCGGTTGTAAACAACAGAATTAAATTGATAACCTAGACAAAAGAGACATTTTTAGAAGGCTAAGAGGGAATTTAAAGGAGCCCAGGTTGTACAATGGTTAGTTAAGTGCTTGGCTACTGGCTGAAAGGTCAGTGGTTTGAACCAACCAGCAGCGACGCGACGTGGGAGAAAAGACTTGGTGATTTGCTCCTGTAAAGATTACAGCCTAGGAAATTCTATGGGGCAGTTCTACTCTGTCACACTGGGTCGCTATGAGTCCGAATCTACTGCATGGTACCTAACAACAATGTTAGGGAACTTAACAGGATCAAAGGTAAGAACAGGAGATCAAGACTTGGGGACATGGAACTCCAAAAGTCTATGAAAGCAAAGAAAACCACACTTGTTCTCTTTAAATGGCAGCAGGTTGAGTTTCTCCACATGTCCCACAAAATCTTCCTTTAAAATTCACAGAAGTATTGAAAATAATAGAAAAGAGTTTCTTAATTATGTAGAATGGCACAAACTGGTTCTGACTTTTTAAACGCTGATTTGTGGAAATGTCATTTGGGGTTTATTTCTCTGTCTTCAGTGCTAAGATGAATGTCTTGAAAATTACAAGTCCTATTAGCACTTGTGAGTCTTGCTTTCTAAGAATACCTATTATTAGATTTTGTTGAACTATTCTTTTTTGTTTTCTAGTGACAGTGATGAAAAACCTCTCAAAGGAAGCCTTCGGTCCCTCAACAGGGATATCCAGGCCACAGAAAGTGCTGACAGCTTAGTGGAGTACGGAGAAGGAGACCACGGCCTGTTCAATGAAGATGGATCATTCATTGGCGCTTATGCTGGATCTAAGGAGAAAGGGTCTGTTGAAAGCAATGGTAGTTCTACAGCAACATTTCCACTCCGAGCATAAACACAATACATGCAAACAATACTGATGGTTCACACCAACCTTCCATATTTATCTGTACAAGGGAGCAAGAACTTTCACATAGGAATAAAAACATGTTGGCAGAGATTTCATCCAGAATTCAAACATCCTACAATTGTGTTGAGAAAAATAGCACTGCCTTGAAAGAATAAAACACCAAGCACTTCAGGCCTTTTTTTTTTCCCCCAGGTGCTCAAAATGCAGAACACAAAACAAATCCTGTATTTAGATTCACCTCAGTTGAATCCAGAGTAACCCAATCAGTGTACTCCGTATTTACCTGGTTTTACTGTTCAGCGTGTTTGCGTAGATGTTGCTACCTTGTGGGCTTTTCTCGGTATGCACATTTGTACCCAGTCTCTGAGAACTTTCTTCGTGACTTTGCTTCAGTAGAGTTTAAAAGATAATAAGCCAATTGGTTATTTAAAATGTAAAAAAGAATATGGATGTCTTGTTTAAACTGTTCACTGAATATATACAGTCTAAATTTATTATTTAAATTTTGAGTAGCAAAGAGTCTTAGGTGAACAATTGACTAGTATTTATTCAGCTCCTAACTATTTGCCCAGAGATGGTCATGTTTAAACAGAATTATAACTTTTTTTTCAGTTTCAATATGGATTTTATATTTCTATCAGTTATGCTGTCAACAGACATCTCTGCCTCCCCACCCTTGGACTAAATTCAGCTGCAAAGGTGATCTTATTAAAGAATAGACATGAAGCGTCCATTATTCTGGAGTCTAATAGCTACATCTATTTAAATGTCCATTTCTAAATTGACTGCTTTGACCTTTTTTCTGTGTTTATATAATGGTATGCTTGCATATATTTCATGAATGCATTGTACATATTATGTTAATATTTACACGATTTAAAATATAGATGTGTTTTATTTTGAAGTGAGAAAAAGAACATTAACAGGCATGTCTGTACAGCTAGAGTATACAGTAAGATATAATTTTTCTTCATTCTAGAGCTACCACCAATAACATAAGTTTCCAAAACCGAAGACATTATATAAAGCATTTGGATTTTGTTCTTATATTGCTTTTTTTTCAACAGTCTCAAAATAAAATATCATATAAATATTGAGGGAAACGTTTTCATATTTTTCAAAATAAGTTTTTGTTGTTGAGTGTAGTCCTACCCCAGCCCCAAGAAAGAAAAACTGTTTACAGTAGAAATTCCTAAACATATGTTTGCTTCTATCACATTTGAAACATCTTTAGAGTGAGATTGTTTCTATATTCTCCTTCTGTCAAAGTCAGTACAAATTTAGGGAATTTATTTTCTGGCATGTGGCTACTAGTCTTTTTAAAATCTTACATGAAACTTATTCACAAATAGTATGAAGCCCTATGCATACATACCAGTAAAATGCAGTGCTCAATTTCTCATTTTATGGGAGTATTTTTTAATTTTATACTGAAATTCTTATTACGTTTAAGTGAAATTGACTCACATATTTTACTTTGTTTTTTGACTGTAATTATGGGTGTTAACTGTTACATCCTTGACTTTGATTTATATAACCTACTATATTTCTTGAGGAGCAAATTTAGGGGAGTTTATAATGGCTAATGGAGTGATGCAAGTGGAATATCTAATTGTCCTTTTTAACTTCATATGTTCTCCAAAATGCATAAGCAAGAAATGAATGTCTTATTTAAAACGGTACTTGATGGGCTCAAGATTTGACCACTCTCATGCAAGCAAGCATTTCGAAGGGAGAATGCGTGTTGGTTCACCCCACGCGAGCATGAGGATCCACATGTCAATCAGTGCAGCTTGAGCTTCATCACCATCTGATTTCTAAGGCACAACTTGTCAGAAGGAAGACTATCATCCTGTTTTGATATCTCTGGGAGGAATTTGTGGTGCTCACCTACTGATGAGGCTAACGTTGGGACTGCCATTTCTTTTTCTTTGTCATCAACCAAAAGATAGTTTTAAAAGAACCATGTGGGTTGGAAATAATGTTAAATCAATCTTCATTAGGAGTAGACATATTAGAATTTTTTTTTTTTTAATTAGAAGTTAACTCTGGAATACTGAAATGTTTGCTTTTCCTAGACCTCCATGTTTGCCTTTCGTGGTCTGAGAAACAAGGGTGTCCTGCTCATATTTTCTGAAAGGACAGAATTTACATATATGAAAAATGAGATTGGACTCTGACTACCTTATGTTATCACTCTCTATTGCCTTTTCTCAATACCATTTGGCTTCTGCTGGGAATCTTCAGTGCAGAAGGAATAGGGTCCATGACTTTCCCTGATTTTAATGATCAAATTATTTATTGTTTTGTGAATCAGAGTAAGCTTTAAATGGGGAAAAATGATTCAAACATTTTTAAATGCATTTCATTCTTTCCCTTCAGCATCTCAGTAACAGAGCTCACAATGTTCAATGATGATTATAAGTGGACTCTAACTGCAATATGCCCACTAAGTGATAAGGCATCAGCCAATACCTAGAACTTTATTCTTAATTGACTTTATGCTTTCTCTAGTCTACTGTCAATATTATTTTTACGTAATAGATTGTATATAATCTCAAGGATGGTCTGTGGGCATGCGTTCCTAGGGAGTTGTCCAAGGGTTGGGAAAATTGAGATCTCTTCCTGGTTCCAGCACTGATTTTGTACATAAACCTTAGACTAGTAGCTTAACCCTTTTGCTTCAAATGGTCTCAACTATAAAGTGCTAATGATGTCCTGGGTTACGTTATCTTTATCACAGGGTTTTCTTTTTTATGAAGAAAAATTTGAAAATGGTAAAAACTAAGATGCCCTTTAACTTCATAAACAAACCTTTAATCTAATCATGTATCTAAAAGTTACCCTACCCACAACAACTCAGTTCATTTTTCCTGTAAACACATAAATATATTTTTATAGAAAAACGAATCTACAGGAAATAAAAGAAATCTACTGTTCAATGAGCGGTATCATCTGCACATGCCATTGAACATGATTAATCAGAAGAAAATTAAGCAGGGTCTTTGCTATACAAAAGTGTTTTTCACTAATTTTGCATGCATGTTTATAAGAAAATGTGAATTTGGTGGCTTTATTCTATTGGTGCAAAGGCATCCGATATTTTAGATGTGCCCACGTTTATAAAAATGTAGAGCACAATTAAATTATGCTGGAAGTCTCAATATTTTTGTTCCTATTTTATACTCATGGAAGAGATAAGCTAAAGAGAGAACAATGAGAAATGGTGTGTTTTTTCTAAGCATTTAAACGTAATTGCCAATTGAAACCCTAAGTATGTTTACATGTCATTAAGATATGATTCTTGGAACAATTTAAAATTGATTATAAAGGGATTGGATTTGTAATCTGTGGTAGTATATAGCCTAGTGTTTCTATAGTGAAATAAGTAGGGTTGATCCAAAGCTTACTTGTTTGATATCATAAATTGTTTGGTAACACTATCAGAAGAGGTAAAAGGTATGTAGAAAAGGTTCCCCTGATAACTTTTTGTCTGTTTGTTTAGATTAATATTCTTAGCAGAACCTTATTGAAATGTGTTTGTATCGTAGCTGGTGCTTGTATTATGCTTATGGATATGTATGGCTTAAAATATTTTCATTATACATGAATTCAACTTTCCAAATAAAAGTTCAACTTCATGTACTCTAAAAATGTTTGTATTCTTTTCTATCCAGATGAGAGAAAAGAAGATTTGTGTATCAACCTTAATTTCAGTTGCCTCTGATACTGGAAAATATATAAATGAAGTATAAATTAATAAAGTACAAATGAAATGCAAAGAATGTATTCTGATTTAAATGACTATTTAGGAATTGACCATTTAATATCATCAACATCTATGCAATTTAACATGGCAATATATTTTACTCTTATGATACATAAAATTTAAGATGTATGGATGTTCATCTGGTTACTTCCAGAACAATGTAGAAGTGTCACTTTTCAAGAAAATGTCAAGCATATAATATTTTCAAATAAGGGTAAAAGGCAAATATTGATTATTGGGACACTCAACCTGGATCTACAAACAATCTATTGAAAATCATGGTCTTTAAAAAGAATTTTATCTGTAGTAAGTATTTTACATACATCATCACATTTAATCAAAAACAATCTTTAGTTTGTTTAATTTAAGACATAGGAAAGTTAAATAACTTGGGTGAAATCTAGAAATTAAACCCAGAGCTGTCTGACTCCGTAACCCAGGCTCATAATCATTATACTAATATATAGGTTTTTTTTTTTTTAAATTTCTTTATTCCTCCACATTCTCTTTTAGAAATGCTAAACAAAGGTGAGTTTGAGCCTAAAGCTGACTTATTGGTCATGTTTAGAAACCTCTTGGTTTTAAGATATGTGAAGACATACAATAAGGGAAAATAACAAATACTGTGTTATATAAAACCATTGAATGTGTGCAACCTAAAAAGTAGTACTTCAAACAAATCAATTTTAAATGAATCTCTGATACTTCATCATATCCTACTTACTCCTTAGAGTAACTAAAAAAAGAGCAGAAGATTCTTACCAGAAGTGGCTTCAGAAATAATTCCTCTCAATATTTTCAAGTTGGCATTTATGTCCCATTATTAAAATTTGAAATCTGTAATTGAACACCTTTGTTCTTCTTTTGCCATTCTCACTTATTTCTCCTTCAAATAGAACAGAATTTCTCAGGTCGTATATCATTAGACTAATGGCATCCCACTTGTGGAGAGCCCTCATTGCCAAGGTAAACATACAATAAGTACAACAACTTTTCAAGGACACTTAGTTTGGGATATTGCTATTTTACTACAATGAGGTTTACATCACACTTAAATCACATAATATGGAGTAGCATCATATGTATATGTTAGTAAAGGCCAATGTATGGACATTTCCAGATGTAACCTGAAAAAGAATTCATAAATTGCATTGCAATTCAAATATGTAAATTCTATTAACAAATGGAGAAGAAAATATTACGTTGATTGGCGTAA